AATCAATAATGCCTCATTACCCATAATTTGTTTTAAGTGTATAAATAAATATATAAAGTTCATCTTCTTATATATAGGAGAATATAAACTCAATTTGACGCAATCTAAATTGGTAATGGAACTCAATCAGAATAATTCTTCAAAATGACTACTGATATATTAATGTTCTAGCACTATATTTTCTTTGATAGGATGTATGCATCTTTGGTGTATGTTAAAATGTTGACACTATCTATATATCTAAGCAGTTGTTAGGTATAAAGTGTAAATAGATTTTTATGATACAAAATGTAAAATAAGATTAGCATTTAGCTAGACTCCAAATTTTTTTCATTTTGTAGGCCTAAATAATATGTTTTTATCACTGTAATATTCATTATGTGTTAAGCTACAAGAGAGTTCAACACAGAAGTTTGCTACAAACATCACGATAAGGTCATCAACAAGAAGGATTAATAGCAGCAAAAGTTTGCCCTAGCAACAAGTTTTACCAATAGCAAGAGTTTGAATGATGGCAAAAGATCTTATGTCACCAACAACAAGACTTTGGAACAACTTTTGCGTACAAAATTACAGAGATTTGTTTGCAGAGATGATCTGTCCACCTATTGCAAAATAGAAAATGAAATTAAAGTAGTTTTGAGTTGAAAATCTAAGCAAAAAGAAATGGACTCCAAATTAAAGTTTCTTCAAATTGCTTGTGATATGTGAGTCACCTTTACGTGACAATCGTATTAATTTTGTGCTTCTGAATTGTCTTGTAACGTTATCTTGAAACTTGTACTATGTGAGTCATCTTTCTTGACAATTGTATTTTTGTGCTTCCTGAGTTATCTTTAAGTACCGACTGTCTTTGCTCTGCGCCATGCACGATTGAATATTCCATGCTCAAAATTAAACCTGACCCTCTTCCCTCTTAAGCTCATCTGCAATAAGTTTTCATAGTCATGGTTACTTCAATAATAAGTCTATTAAGTGCATTTAAGCTAACAATTATCCAAACATAAACTAATCCTAATTAACATAGGCGTGGAATACCGTCAAAATAGGCTTCATTCTTAACTTTACCAATTCTAAATATATAATAGTTAAACTTTGTCAAACTCAAATAAAATGACTAAATTAAACAAAGTCATACATTCAATTAAATTTCATACTATATAATTTCATGACCAAAAAAAGAAAACAATTTATAATATTATACTACTAATGCCATACTATATCAGTTCATCACATGCTAGTCGTCTTTTCCTTGATTTCTATGCTTCTTGTGCATGCATGCCACATGCTTTTTTTTTTTTTTTATTCTTGTCGCATATTCCTGTAATGTTGTCTTTATCTTGATTCTTGTGCTGCGTAAGTCATCTTTGTGTGTGTGTTATTGTGTCACGTGAGCCAGTTTTCTTTGCCAACTATCTCTTTTGATGTCTGCTTGTTGTCTTTGAATTGTCTTCCACCAAGTAATATGGAAAACAAAACTCACAAATGGTTTAATACAATAACCATTAATTTGCACACTACTTTTGTGTGCAATGAGAAAAAGAGTTTCTAACAACATATTTTATAATCTCCAAAGAAAATAAATGTATTTATAGTAGTCTATACCCATGTCATTTTTCAATGTGGATTAAGACTCATTCAAAACGTTTCCAAATTATATTTTCCCATGTGTGCTCTCTCTTCTCTCATTCTCTCACCCTCTGACCTCAATCTCTCATTTGCATTTTCCAATGTTCTCTCTTCTCTTATTCTCTCAAACTCTCTGAAATATGTTTAGAGTTGTCTAATTTCTCTCAACTCTCTTCTCATCAGTTCTCAAGAGCTTTTGACTCTCTACCTCGAATATCTGAAATATTATTAGTCTGTCTCTTAGAGACTCTAGTGGCCCGTTCCTAATTTCTTAGTGGTGTGGTAACCAGTGGTGGAAGCCCTAGGTCATAGCTTGCATTGCTTATGCGTGGAATCCATTGCCTTTTTTCTCCAGGGATTTATTGGAGAAACGAAGTAATTCTGAAAATTCTAATTTTATACTGGTTTTTCGTGTGATATATTGATATAGAGTTAATAACCAATATGGTCCCTCGACTATGATGTAATTACCAATTTAGTCCTCGACTATCATTCTTACTCAATTAAGTCATCAACTATACAATCTTTACCCAACTTAGTCATCTGTTAATTGATATAGAGAACAACGTTGTTGTTTGTTGACTGTCAAAGTTGAGGACAAAACTGTAATCTTCATTATCATCACAATCTTGACTAGCAAGTGTAGATGAAGTTTCAGGGGTTACTGCCGATTCAAACCCACTCATGGCCGTCACCGCCGATCTCGTCGTCAACGAAGACAACAGATCACAAATCTCCGCCGTCAGATCACTGCTCGACGCCAACGTTGTTCTTTCCGGCATGCAAGGGGGCTTTTGAATCGGCAAGGACGAAGACCCAACCACAGTCTGCGACGACGGAGTAAGGGTACCAGGTGCGACAGCATCGCAAGGGGGATTTTGAGTCGAAGTTAAACAAGACGAGCAGGTAGCCTCAGCCACACCGAGACCACCGCCACCCTCGATTCCTCCGCCTGCTTCCTTCGATTGCCGGACATTCGCCGGTGGCGCAACAACTCCTAGAAATTTTGGAGACCTCCGATCATTGTTCTGACCAGAAGAGAATGTTCTCGACACTTCCCCAACACCATCCAAGCCAGTAGATCACCCATGCAAAGCCCGGTTCGCTGGCAATACCGCCATCGACGAATTCTGGGTTGAGACACGCGAGAACTCTCAGGCGGCTGTCGAACATCAATCGGATCATCAAAAGTCGTTCGCCCCTCAACGCCAGCACCATCCACACTAGTCAAAGCTGGAACAGACGACTGGGCGACCGACAGAGTCTCCATTGACGAACCCGGAAGACGATCGCGATTTTCCTCCAAAGCCGTCTGATTGCCGAATTGTTGAGGGTTTCGTGGTTGGTCTAATTGTCTTTTAGACTATGCTGCTACAGTGCTGAATGTTCGCCCAAATCGGAGCCTGAGCTCTGAAACAAGAAGATCCGCCTCCTTGGCCCATCATCTCCGACGAACAGCTTTCCGCTCCTAACGACGACGGCGATCGCCGGAGACTCGTTGGAGGGAGTGATATGCATTGGAGTAGAATATGAAACCTGCGGCGTCTCATTTCGGAGGTTTGGGCTGCTAAATGGGGAAGGAGGAAGAGAGTTTATAGAGTTACAATTTTGCCCTCAATTTTAACAGTCAACAAACAGATAAATTAACGGAGGATTAAATTGGGTAAAGAGTGCATAGTTGAGGACTTAATCGGGTAAAAATGATAGATGAGGACTAAATTGGTAATTATAGCATAGTCAAGGGACTATTTCGGTTATTAACTCTATTGATATATGTTTGTGATATTCTTAAAACCCTAATTTTATATCATCTATGAAATTTCCAATCAAAATTTTCAAGTATCAATAATCCAATCAAAATTTTCAAGTTGCTTATTTATTGGAATAGTCTTTACCTCAACACTAATGAGATAATAAATAAATACACCAATGAGATTAAGCATACACCATAAAAAGAATACAATTAGGATAAAACTTATAAATAAACAAAATGATTATAATATGATCCATTGGTTTAAACTTGTGCTCACACGTTTCCTCATAGCAAAATTTAAAAAACATACACAATCTCTAGAACGAATAAAAAGCATCTTGAAGTTAAATATCAAATCTTGCAAAAGGAATTCACTTTAGAGCAAATAATTAACATTTTAATTTTGCAAAAAACTACCGATAAGAATGAGCAAAAACAATATAGCAAAACTATTGGCAAAATCCCATGACTATATTAGTATAAGAGATTCATGGATCACAAACATCATTTTCCTTTAAAAAATATGACTATACTTAGAAAATTGGAATTGAACTTTTCTTCAAATCTACTATCGAGTTAGATTATATTATTTTTATAATTATTTTAAAAATTGCTATGTATAAATTTGTTGTTTCAATGACTATTAAAGTTATATTAGTTATCAAAAAATTTAGTATCATTTTTGGTTTAATTGAGTAGAATGATGATGTATTGTTAACAAAATATCATTTCATTTAAGTTTATCTACAAATTTAAAAAAAAAAAAAAAAAAAAAAAAAAAACAGTTAGAGAGCAAAAATTATTAACTAAGTGGAGAGGTTATAGTGGGAAAAAAAAATAGTTTAATTGAGGACCAGAAAGGCTATGATTTTATATATGTCTACAGCAGTATCAACAAGCACCAGTGGTCTAGTGGTAGAATAGTACCCTGCCACGGTACAGACCCGGGTTCGATTCCCGGCTGGTGCATTGCTCTGAAGCAGTGACGACGTGTGCGCATGAGTGGTGAATTTGGGTTGCCACGGTTAATCTGATGCTTTCTTGGAAGACGAATAGAGCGCATATTTTCACTATAACTTCGCCATTTTGTCAATAACATTTACTTCTCAAACTGTTTTTTTTTTTTTTTTTTTTTTTTTTTTTTTTTTTTTGAAAGGTGTTTTTATTTATTTTATTGATTTAATACCAGCCAAGATCCCTCGAGTATAGTGTTTCCGTCACCTATGGTCCTAAACTTTAAAATCAACCATTTTTGGTCTTTCAAGTTTAAAAAATGACCTACAATAGTCCTGCCGTTAGTGTTTCCCATCTGAGCCGTGAAATGCAAGGGCATTTTTGGAAGACGAATAGAGCGCATCTGAGCTTCTCTAATTTTGTACTTCTGGACATCTTTTCACTATAACTTCGCCATTTTGTCAATAACATTTAGTTCTCAAATTGTTTTTTTTTTTGAAGGGTGTTTTTATTTATTTTATTGATTTAATACCAGCCAAGATCCCTCGAGTATAGTGTTTCCGCCACCTATGGTCCTAAACTTTAAAATCAACCATTTTTGATCCTTCAAGTTTCAAAAATGACCTACAATAGTCCTACCGTTAGTGTTTCCCATCTGAGCCGTGAAATGCAAGGGCATTTTTGGAAGACGAATAGAGCGCATCTGAGCTTCTCTAATTTTGTACTTCTGGATATCTTTTCACTATAACTTCGCCATTTTGTCAATAACATTTAGTTCTCAAACTGTTTTATTTTTTGAAGGGTGTTTTTATTTATTTTATTGATTTAATAACAGCCAAGATCCCTCGAGTATAGTGTTTCCGCCACCTAAAGTCCTAAACTTTAAAATCAACCATTTTTGGTCCTTCAAGTTTCAAAAATGACCTATAATAGTCCTGCCGTTAGTGTTTCCCATTTGAGCCGTGAAATGCAAGGGCATTTTAGACCTTTACAATTTTCTCACCCAAATTAATTCATTTCACGTTCTGAAATTGAAATTGAAACAATTCTTACCCATCGGCTCTTGCTCCGTTGCTGGCGGCTTGAATTCCGATTCCACCTTCATCGGCTCCGTTGTTGGATCTGATTGTGAATTGATTGAACTGCTCAAACCATATAACAAAGAGCCACCACCATTTTGAACTGGTGTTTTCTTGAAATTTGGGAAAGAAGAAACCGTTGCCTTCATCGTTTGATCCATCTCAGCTTTAGCAGAAGCCGATGACGAGCTGTTCCGAACACTAGCTGAATAGGGAGCTGCTGACGAGGAGTTCAGCACAGAAGGCAAAATCGCCGGCGACGGAGAGCCCGGAACCAACGATGAGACACATGATTTAGTATCGCCACAAGATCTGTTGTTTACTTCTCTGGTATCGTTCGATGCAATTTCTTTCTTCAAAAGAGCTTGCGACTAATCATCAACCCATACAAAACCTCCGCAATCTCAATCTCCAGCTCCTTAGGGTTGTTGGAAGATGTCGATTTGGACGACGATTTCGGCGGCGGTCTCTCCTTCGACCCATTAGCCTTCTACATCAACAAAAACACTTGTGTCACTCAAAAAACACTCACAATTCCGAGAAGATAAAGCAGAAAATTGAAGGACTAACAACCAATACAAAGAACCCATAATAAATGCATTTCCCAGAACTCCATCGCCGACGGAGAAAGAGCGTGCGAGGGACATCACATAGAACCACTCCGCATCAATGATGAGGTCGCCGTTCTCCAAGTTCTAGGTGCCGATGAGGGCTTGGATTCCACTGATAACTTTCTTCTGACTACTGGGTAGAGTGAGAGGTTTGGAAGACGGGGACGTCGCCTCTGCCGGCCTTTGTCCTCTGGAAAAAGCCATCTCCCCAGGCCAAGAAAATAGCGTAAGCCCAGCTGTCGGTTTGCGTTTTGAGGATGAATTGAAGCCTCTGCTGAAGGGTTGAGTGATTGGGTTGAGAAAGAGACGCAGTTATGGAGGACGATGAAGATGAGGTGACAATTATTTTGGGTGTGAAAAGTCATTTATGCCCTTACATTTGAAGGGTGAGGCGGAGCTCACTAACGGAAGGATTATGGTAGGTCATTTTTGAAATTTGAAGGATCAAAAAGTAGAGGTGGCCACGGGCCGGTTCAAGGTCGAACCAACCCTGAATCGGCCCGGAAAAAAGTGCGCCTGGGCCTCACTGGGCCTGAGTCGGGCTTAGCTCGAACCGGAACCGCCTTATTAAGGGTCGGTTCAGGTCCTTTTAAAAAAAATTCGAGGCCCAGCACGGAACTGGCCCATGGCCCAGGCCCGAGCATGCCCCGGACCCCTAACCGGCCCAGGCACGAGCCCGGCCCAAGCCCGGGCCTAGGCCTGGGCAAACACAGCCATGGCAGCAAAGCATGCTAGCTTTGCTTCCATGGCTAAATGCCTATAATTCTAAAAAAAAAATAGTAATTTTGATTGTGGCAGCTAGACTTATTACTTACTACTCATCCCATGCAACGTGCAACGACCAAATATATTTGGCCGTTGCATGTAGCCTCTGTCGGAGGCTAGACTAGGCTTGGCCTCCGGTAGAGGCTACTCCTGTTCTCACCTCTCGGCTAGTGCAACAGCTAAATTTTTTTATTTTTCTTCTTTTTAATTACCATTTTACCCTATAATTACTCTTATCCAATTTATTTTTATGACACAAAAATTCTTAATCCAACACTTTCTTACTTCTACTCACAACAATTCTCCATAAATTAAAAACAAACCCAATTTAAAAGTCTTTTAAAATTTTTGAATTTATCTTCTAACATAATTTAGTGAGTAAAAATCAAATCAACTTTATAAACTATACTCATTTTATAATATTTATAAGTTATCAAATTATATTAAGTCAATAAGTCTTATACAAAGTTTTAATAGTACATGACTACAAGTTCAAATGTATTTAACGTCATTTATTTATAAATTTTAATTTAGTAAAAAATCATGTTAATTTTAAATTTTGAGATTAATAACAAAAATATTAATCTTAGAAAAGTATGTGACTGTGTGTTATGTGTATATATATACATTAATTATTATTAATATATCAAGAGGTTGTAATAGCTTAATTGGAAAGAACTTAAATTGGTAACTAAGATTAAAAGGTTAAGGGTTTAAATCTCATTTCAAACAAAAATATATCAATTTATATAAAAATTTATATATTTTAAAAAAATAAACAATATAATACATTACGGGCCTAGCCCGAATCGGCCCACAAAAAGCCCGGGACCAGCCCGGCACGGGACCGGCCCTGAATATCAAGGGCCGGTCCCGAGCTGTGCTGGCCGAGGCTCAGGACTGGACCGGCCCCGGCCCAGGCCCGGACTTTGGCCAGCTCAACTAAAAAGTGTTGATTTGAAAGTTTAGGACGATAGATGGCGGAACCACTATACTGAACCTTGGCTGGTATTAACTCTTATTTTATTTGTAGATAAACCTAAAAGAAATAAATTCAGTTTAGGAAACACCGGTAGTCATCTTTATCTAGTATTTTTTTTAATGATGAACTTTTTTTTAAGTACTATTTGACTCTATTACAATGCAGTATCTATTTTAACATACTTCCTTAACCAATTGAATTCAGTTTAGGAAACACCGGTAGTCATCTTTATCTAGTATTTTTTTTAATGATGAACTTTTTTTTAAGTACTATTTGACTCTATTACAATGCAGTATCTATTTTAACATACTTCCTTAACCCATTGAAGCACAAAAAATCAATGTCTACTGAGGTTTGAACATGTGACCTCCCATTTAGGAGAGCTACAAAGATGCCATTGAGTCACAAGTTACTTGACTTTTAGTGATGAACTTTTAATGTTCCACAAAAAATTATATTTTACATATGTAGTCAATAAATCAACAACATAGTGTTAATTTTAATTTTGTTATATTACCTCAAGATTTGTATGTTTTGAAGAAAAATAACATGTGAAAAGTTTTATTTACTAGATGCCCTAGAAGAAAAGATTCAATTATTTCTTCATTTTCTTCTAGATTATGGAACTAGTGTTCTATATTAGTCTTCCCCCAAACCTTACAACTTATCAACACACACAAATATATAAAAGATTATATTGATCTTTTCGAGTGCATTTTACTACAATCTCTTTATATAATAATAATAGTAATAGTAATAGTAATAGTAATAATAAAAAAAATAATATCCTACTATCCTACTATATAATAAAGTCATAAGAATTCGGCCAATCATATTACTCCATTTTCCCGCCCATTTAAAGCTACGCCGTTTTGGACTATACAATATTGCGCTCAAAGAATTCGGATTGGTAACATTGTTGATGGCACATTTCCTTCCTACCGTACAGGTAACATTGATCCCAGACATCTAGAGAGTAGAGCTATTTTGGCTCTAACATTAGATGTTATCGACCAGGTCAATGAATACATGAACGGTATGAATGAAGCATCTTCCAAGACGTATTTGAGTTGTGATTCTGTGTGCAAGTCAGATACAAATGTTGATATCCAATCTGAGGTTCACACAACAGAATTTCTAAATAGTTTGAGATGTTCAGGTATCCCCAACCATTGTTTAGCATTAAAAAGTTGGATCTCCAATTATGCTTCTGAGGAATATAGACCACTCTTTGGGACTGTGTAATGGTACACGGTTGATAGTTACAAAGTTGGGAAACCATGTTATTGAGGCACAAATCCTATGTAGCAAGTTGATACCAAGGTTGGCGTTGACTCCGTCATACCTAAGACTACCGTTTAAATTTCAAAGAAAGCAGTTTCCAGTTATGCTATCATATGCAATGACAATCAACAAAAGTCAAGGTCAAACACTTTCACATGTTGGTTCGTTACTTTTTTTTTTTCCGAACTTTTGAATTTATTTCACCACCAAAAGAGGCCCAAGGCCTTACAAAATACGTCATAGGCCCAAAAGTGACCTATGGCTCAAAGAGGCATAAAGCCTTTTATACACAAGGACCATATGGTCTAAACCAAACACAAGGACCAAAATTGGTCTAACTACAACTCAAGGACCCAAATTGGTCTAACTACCACTCAAGGACCATAATAGTCTAACTACTACACAAGGACCACAATAGCCTAAAGAAACAACAATCAACCATATACAGCATCCTTGAGGTTCACCCATCTAGGTGAACCTCCCTTATTCCCCCATCACCACCATAAGGTCATCATGCCATCATGCCCTTAAAAAAGATTCGGCCATCATGCCATCATGCCATCAAAAAAAGAATAAATCCATTTTAAAAACCATAGCCATTCGGTCTCATGTGGCCCACCGGCCTAGCTCCAATAGTCCATCATAATCGGCCCATCTACACTTAACCCCATCATTGGAGCACCCTCCTTATCCCTCCAACATCCCATTGGGCAGAACTTGATCCCCCATCTTAATGCCTCCCAAAACCATTAGATTGCATGGTGTTCCTCTCCAATTCCCCTCATCAGGGGTCTTTCCAGGGGTTCATCATAGAAGATGAACCACCCCAACACCTTGCTACAAGCTTCTGTTCTCATGAGCTTTTGACAGCTCCATAAGTTTATCTATGTATAGTGCCTTTGTTCTTTCCACAATCTCTTCCTTTCTTCTTTCAAACTCTTGCATGCCCAAATCCTTTTTTAAGGCTGACATGTGTGCAGATATCTCCTTCTTTGCCTCTTCCCAGACTTCCTTTTTAACCACAAATGCTATGTGATCTCTCCCTTCTAAACACTGGCTGCTACCATGCTTTTTGGATGATCCTGAGCTTTCAATAGAGTGTGTTGGACTACCCTTTTTAGCAGAACCATTAGCCTCCTTTCTTCCCTTCATTGGACTCCCCAAATTCTCAACCAAGCTTCTAAAATCTCCTTGAATGTTCCCCAATTTATCCAAGAAGACTCTATTAGCCTTTTGGACCAAATCATCTTCTTTCTCCTGAACTCTATCCTCCCCCATCTCTGATTGGGCATGCTTGAAGAACTTTAGCACCTCAGCTCTGGCCTCCTCAATCACTTCTGCATCCTCCTTGCTCACCACCTCCCTTACTTTCTCAATCCAAAGCTCAAGCTCCATAAGAGAGTCAGACAATCCAGAAGCCACTTGTGAGCCCTCACTATCCAAGCTCTCACCCCTTTTTTTATTTTCAGCAATTTTGGCCATACTTTGCTTCCTCTTTTCTCTTCTTATCTGGTTCTTGGTGAGCCCTTTAGCTTGTCCAGATGAGCTTCTATTGCTCTTTGAGCTTCCAGTCACCCCATACCCTTGTTTCAGCTCATACCCAGAATTCCCCTTAGGGTTCTGCATCTTTTTCTTGTTCTCAGCTTTCCCAGAGGCATTTTGATCTTCAACCTCTTCCAAATCTGCCCTTTTTGGAGCTGCACACCCTTCCTTCACTACTATATCAGCCACTTCTTCCAAGATGTTTTCAGCAGCCTCCAAAATGGCCTCTTGCACCAAGTGTTCTTGTTCTGAAACACTCAGGCCAAGATCTTGCCAAACCAGCCTCTTTCCAAACATGAGTGCCCTCCTCTTGAGGCTCTCCATTCCTTTCCAGAGCTACTGAATTCAGCCTCTTAGAGACATTCACACAACCAGCTGGGATGCCCCTCCTTCCTTCATTCATTGCTGAGGCCAAGGGCTCTTGAGAAGAGTTCTCTTGAGCATTTTTACAAACAGGTGCTGGTCGTTCAGAAGGCTCCCCTTTAGACCCCTGATTCCTAGCATCTTCAGGTTTATTAGTATTCTCTTGGACATTTTGTCGAACATCTTCATTACAATCATCTCTGTCTGCCTCCTCCACCCTTCCCATTCTCCTGTTTGCCCACCTTCCATTCCCCAACTTACGGCAATCCTTCATTGAATGCCCAAATCGGCCACATTCAACACAGTAGGCAGGCATTCTCTCCAGTTCCACCTTCTGCCAGAATCCTTCCACAACCCCTCCCTCTCCAACATATTCAATCCATATACGATCTATACAAGGCTTAGACGCATCAATCTCCAGCCTCAACTTGGCCACACTAGGCCTAGATTTCCTAGACGTTGCTGCGTCTAGTGCTACAACTCGGCCAATCGACTTACATATTTTCGACAAAGCATCAAAAGTAAACAAATGGATTGGAAGGGATGGTAACTGAGCCCATACCAGTGTCCATGGAGAGTCCTTGTTGATCCTCTGCTCCGGAGTCCATCTAGATAGCCAGAGACGACTGCCGGCGACCGAGACTTGACTTCGCAGCCATGCCCGTCTACAATCCTCCCCCGACTCAAATCGTAAGTGAATACATCGGCGGTCAAGGGAACCAATGTGCAAATCCCCTTCTGTTCGCAAGGCTATTCGCAGTTCCGATCTCAATCTATCCAGAGGAGGTTTCTCCCTCACAAAGCGCCCTACTAAAGAGAGTTTCTCTTCTGCAATCGCCAGTCTCGTCCATTCTAATCGTGAGAATCGCACATACGGGCCATTATTCAACAAATCCGGATGGCTCGACTCGTTGACTTCGTGATTCTGACCGCCATTCTCCACTTCCGGGAATAGATCTTCAATTGATCTTCCCTCTGACCTCCGATGCTCAGTCCACATGCCAGGTTGGAATCGCAACATCGAGCTGTACAGATTTGGTGTTTCCAGCGATCCAAAGGTCGCCGGCGGCGGCGCAGCCACCGGTCCTCCCTCTTCCGCCAGTCTGGGCTGGGCTAACAAGCCAGCAAAATTAAAAGATGAGATTCCGTGTCCCTTTACAAAAGCCTGTTTTTAACCATGGTCAATTGTATGTAGCAGTTTCTAGGGTTAGTAATCCTGATAGTCTTAAAGTCTTAATTTGTGGTGAATCTGGACATCTTCTAAACACTACTCAAAATGTAGTTTACAAAGAAATTTTTAATAATGTGTAATTATTTTTATTTAGGGAAGGTGGATCAATTATATTTTATCAATTTACTATATCTTTAACCTTATCAGTACTATATCTTCAATTTATCAAAGTGTTATATCTTGAACTATAATAATATGGTCGTGCGATCTAATACTTTACTATTCAGTTTGAAGGTTGATCACAACCCACCTAGAAGCATCCACAGTGTCTCAGTCATGTTCTATGGCAATAGTGGAGACAATTCCAAGTCTCATATAGAGGTAAGCACTATCAAGGATCTATATGACAGAGCAGAGGTATTAATATTACATACTGTGATGTTAACATTTTGTTGAAATCAGGGAGGATACTACTTTGTTCCTTGAAGGATTATGGCAGTCGAGAGTACAAGGAATTGCTTTAAGAAGCTGGACATGAAGGATAGATTTCTGAAATGTGGAACATGTGTAAACAATTGGTAGGAGGGGACCCTAAGATATAGGCTAATTATTAGGGTAGTTGATAAGACGAGTGATGCCACATTCCTTTTATGGGACAAGGAAGGTTGTGAAGTAGTTGGCATGACTGCCTTTGATCTCAGAAAGAAATACTCCATAGTTTTAGTCAAAAAGTGCCGCCCCTATTTAGCTAGGATGGCTAGATTAAAATCCCATAATCATTTGAAGTTTTACCCCCATACCCCCAATTAATAGACATAAGCTTTCTAAACCAATTAAACCGGTTGAAATCGAAAAAATAACAAAAGAAAAATATGAAAAGACAAAAATACCCTTACTAAAAACAGAAAAAGTCATAAGAAGAACTAAATGTAGTGTTCAAAAACTAATAGTCTAGGATGTTAAATGACAAAAATGATAGTTTTGGACTAAATTTGAAATAACCACCAAAGACCATGGACCTCCAGTGGAATTAACTCTAAAAAATATATTGTCAAGGCCTACAAAATGAAAAACAAAATTGGGGTCTAAATACTAATCTTATTCTACACTTTGGATCATCAAAATCCATTTAAACTTATTCCTATAATATGACAACATGGAAAGAAATATAATATTAAACACGGTATATAATATTTAAAATAAAATTAATAACTATATATGACAACATGGAAAGGAATCACCATATATAGTATTTATATATATATATAAAAAAGAGTTAATACCAACTGAGGTCCTCCGAGTATAGTGGTTTTGCTACGTTTAGTCCTAAACTTTCAAATTGACCATTGGTAGTCCTTCGACTTTCAAATTTAACCATTCGTGGTCCAAGTTAACCATCCATAATCCTTCAAGTTTCGAAATTTAACCAGTCGTGGTCCTCTTGAAAGGACCATGGTTGGTTAAAATTTAATAGGTGAAGGACCATGAGTGGTTAACTTGGACCACGAATGGTTAAATTTGAAAGTCGAAGGACCACAGATGATCAATTTGAAAGTTTAGGACTAAACGTAGCAAAATCACTATACTCGGAGGACCTTAGATGGTATTAACTCATATAAAAAAAATAATCTGTATACGCAGGGACGGAGGCAGAGGGGGGGCAGGGGGGCAGCTGCCCCCTCACCCCACCCCCACCCCATATATAATATTTGTATGTATATATGTATATATAGTATAGGTGTTAGTATTAGTATAAAAAAATCAGTAAATGTTAACAAGGAGTTAGAGTAGTTGGTAAGGCATGTGTTTGTTAATGGGAAAGGTCTTGGGTTCAAATCTTTGCATTAACATATTTTTGAGTCCTTCCCCTATGGCCACTTTTTTAATATTTAATATATGTAATTTATAATGTATTTTCTATTCAAATTGTTTTATCAAATTAATTATGTTTCATATTATGTTATGAATATTTTTATAAAGTTTTGATGTGTTTTATTTTTCGCACATATCCAACAATATTTACAACTATATTTTTAAGTAATGATTATATAAAAAAAAAAAAAACTTAGGTAATTTATTTATTTTTTTTTAAATTATCTCTTTTGTTTTAATGTTTCGTTTTTACTGAAAAAAATTTCTGAATCCGTACTACTTCTTCGCCCCCCCTCAATCAAATTCCTGACTCCGTCCCTGTGTATATGGGTTCCTATGGAGTATTTATGATAAATAAATAAATAATTATATATGAGTATACCACCATAGTTCATGTTAGGAATCGTTATATATAGTATATAATAAAAATAATAACTTTATTAGTGTAATTTAACTTCTTAGATCGTATGAATTTAACTTTTTTTAGTTTTACAAAGAGTAAAAGACAATTTTGGTCCTAGATTTATAGTGGCACGGACAATTTTAGTCCTTAATAAAAAAATCAGACAATTTATGGACACTCTTATTATGACGAGGACAATTTTGGTCCTCCGTCTATATTTCAGTTAGATGGCCGTCTAATATGAGGGCAATTGCGTCAATTCACTCTATCTTCTTCTCCAACCTTCACTTCTCTGTAACTTCATCTTAATTTTTTAAAATGAGAGTCACGGCACCAACCTGCAAATCTGCAATCAATTAATCTACAGCGAGCGGTCATGGATGTTCAACAGAGTGCAGTTTAACATAGGGATATCAGGGAGAAGACTTATCTAGGATTGCAGGGATGTCATTCCAGTTGATCTGAGGCATATGGGGTTTAACAGAGTGCGCCTACGTGGACTCAATGCACAGCAAGGCGTCTGAGCCCTCGGCGGCGTTGCAGAAATAGAATAAACCGGCGACGGTGGCTACGAGGAGCACAATGGTGAGGAGCTTGTATAGATTCTCCGAAACCCATGCGGTAAAATCGAGGTTTTTGGTCTAGGGAATGCAAGAGATGGACCTCCGGTGCGTCGGTGGGGAGGACGGCAGAGATGGACCGCAAGCTCCGCCGCGTGTTGAAATCTTGTTGCACCGACTTGGGGATCAACACGCGCTCGATCCCGTGGATGATGCCGTCGGGGCGAACGACGTCGTCAAGGGAAACAACCTTCGCGCCGCTCACCTCCCTCTCCGACAGAACGAGATTCTCCCCGCCGGCGTCGCGGCACAGAGTTATATGATTCCGGCCGCCCCGCCGCGAGTTTTTCGGCCACTGTATGGACTCAATGCGAGTGGGAATCATGTGGAAGAGAAGCAGATTCTGCAGGGACCTGAGATTCCCAGGCTGAACCAAGAAGCACTTGAACTCCGGGTCCAAATCCCGCTCCAAAGCCTCATTCTTGGCGCAAAAATGGTGATATTGTGCCGGGAAACAGCTTCCTCAAGAGTCTGGAGAAGAAGCGCCTTCTCCACCAGCTCCGACAACTCCGTGTAGTGCGAATCCAAAAGGGCCACCAACACCGAGTTGGAATTGATCTGAGCGCCGGAGCTCAGATTTCTTGATGGGTTTTTGAGCAATGCTGTGCCACCCACTAACCCAAACACCAACAAAAACACACTAAAACACAACAGCTTGCTCAGGCCAAAGATCTGAACATCCATGGCCGCTCGCTGTAGATTAATTGATTGCAGATTTGCAGGTTGGTGCCGTGACTCTCATTTTAAAAAATTAAGATGAAGTTACAGAGAAGTGAAGGTTGGAGAAGAAGATAGAGTGAATTGACGCAATTGCCCTCATATTAGACGACCATCTAACTGAAATATAGACGGAGGATCAAAATTGTCCTCGTCATAATAAGAGTGTCCATAAATTGTCTGATTTTTTTATTAAGGACTAAAATTGTCCGTGCCACTATAAATCTAGGACCAAAATTGTCTTTTACTCTTTTACAAATTACTTAATTAAGCATGGATTAGCATTATTATCAGTTTGGAACCAACCAGCAGTCCTGTTGAGCAATATAAAGGTTTATAATTTGTTTAAGATTTCTCATCATCATCAACGCTAAACACCATGTCCAACCTATACTTCGACTTCATCGTCCCCATACGAAAGCGCACGAAGCGTGCACGATCAGCTTCTAATCCATGGATCCGCCGGAATGGGGCTCCGTCATCATCTTCCACTGCTTCTGCTTCATCGGAAAAGACACCATGCGGCCGGCAACAATTTGTTTAAGATTTCATTATCAAAAAAACAAAAACAAAAACAAAATTGTTTAAGATTTCTGATCATCATCATCAACGCTAAGTCGCTAAACACCATGTCCAACCTGTACTTCGACTTCATCGTTCCCATACGAAAGCGCACGAAGCGTGCACGATCAGCTTCTAATCCATGGATCCGCCGGAATGGGGCTCCGTCATCTTCGACTGCTTCTGCTTCATCGGAAAAGACACCGTGCGGCCGGCAAGAAACATCGGATGGATCGAAGGAGTTCAGAGAGGGGCCGAACACTCTTTGCAACGCCTGCGGTGTTCGATACCGCACCGGACAGCTGTTTCCGGAGTACCGACCGGCCAATAGTCCGACGTTTGTTCCTACCATACATTGCACTCCAATTCTCACCGGAAGGTTGTGGAAATGAGAAGGAAGGGTACTGTTGAGGAAGCTTCGGCAACTATGGTGAAGGAGGATTCTGTGAAGAGCGCAGCTGCAGCTGATGCCGATGAAAAGAAGAAGATGGAAGAAGGGAAAAAGTGAAATATTGTCAAAAGTGCGTGGTATAATATAACCAAAAAAAAAAAAAGGAATAAGGTTCAAATTGGCCACTGAACGTAACCTCACTACACCAAAAGTCGCATTTAGCGGCGGTTATAAATTTGTTTAGCGGCGGTTTCGAACCGCCACAAATGTATTTCCCGGCGGTTATTTAACCGTGACTAAATAGTGTGTCGCGAAGGTTTTAGCGGCGGTTTTCTACAACCGCGGGAATTTGTCCAACATTCATTTAGCGGCGGTTTTTATTACATTTAGCGGCGGTTTCGAAACCGCCGCTAAAATTGATCATTTTTACTATGGTTTAGCAACATTTATATAACCGCCGGTAAAAACATTTTATTTAATTTTACTATAAATTTTAACGGCGGTTTTAAACCGCCGCTAAAATATAATATTATTTTTTATAATTATTTTCTTATTATTTTCTTATCTAATAATTGTGATATTTTTGAATTGCGACTATTTTTTTTTTTTTTTTTTTGATCCTCAGTAAATTTTATATATTTATTTATTTATAATTCTCTACATTCAAATTTGCATTGCAACCACAAACAAACTCTCTTGTATACACTTGATTTAAAAGAAAATCAATTATAACAATATTTTTCAAATAATAACACCAAACAATATTCAAGTACAAAAGTCTACATATTATTTGAATTACATACATAACTAAAAAGTACTTTTACATAAAAAACCATATTTGACATCTTTGTAACTATGGACATAAAAAATATGATAGCTAGGCCCCTTTACAAGACTGCCAATCACCGATGTCCCCTGATCAAGTTCAGGCACCCTGGGAACACTACCATTGCAGTCCAAAACCAAAGGAGGCTGGTTCTGGTTCACAAGCACCATAGCTTTTGAATCGTGGATCTAACAACGACTCAACCGGGGAAGAGCCGTGTGACAAGTAATGGTTCTAGGTATTAGACAGGCTGTTTGATTCTGTCAACCATGAATTTGCTCTTGCAGGCTTCACAATAGGGCTCTGATTAGTTTGAACAACCTGAGAAAAGCTGGTCAGTACTTTAACTGCAGAATAATGCTAGATTCACACAAAGCTAAGCAAATGCAGGAGTTGTTGCTCAATTGGGAACTAGAGGGAGTAGAGGCATTTGATTCACCATCAATGAAGCTGAGCAGTTGCAGGTTTCCATCCTCTCCCAAGGGAACTGCAAATTCACCATCATAGTCTAAGGAATGGAAAATTCTTCCCCCAGACACAAAGTCCTCAACCTGAATCCGAGAGATTAGTAGATCATCCTCGGGTGATGTTATGCATGAATTCTGAGGCTATAGCAAGCTCTTGATTGTCTTCTGCTGCTGATCAAATATCATCTTCAACTGCTTGCTTTGTTATTCAATTCTCATCTGCAACTTTTCCTGTATCTAATCACAGACAACAAGAACTAAGAAACAGGATTTTATGGGACAAAAGAGGTTAACAGTCTTATAGCAGTATAAGACTATAAGTATCAATTAATTATTAATGCAAATTTAAGTCCATAAGAAAGGGATCGGAATGAGTTCCAAAACAATGCCAACTTGCCAATACAAAATAAAACCCAAATACAATGGAACAATGGAGGATCAGTATTAAGGCAAGCAATCCCAAATCAATGAGGCAGTGCAAAGTTGACAATTGGTTCAAAAAGGGGGTCCAGCTCAAGCCAATGCTGTTAAACCCAGATTACAAATTCTATTATACATTCAGCTTATTACCAAGTGTGCAGTCTAAGTATATGTTTCCAACCCTCCCTACACTATAGTATAGTTTACTTTACATTCACTATTATCAGTCACTTATTATGGCCAGCAAAAAAAAAAAAAAAAAAAAAAAAAAAAACATAAAGACAAGTGAAAACATAAGAAATTGCTATACTGAAATGTTTGCAATTGAAAATTGAAATAATACAAAGAGTATTTCAAATAAGAACCTATTCACCACCTTAGTTATCTTTGATCTACGTGCAGCTTCTTTTGCTTCTCTGATTTTCTTTGTCTTTAAATACTTATCTGTTTAGAATTTCATAAATGCCAGTATTAAAGGTCAGATTAGATTAGTCTTATCCTGAAAAAGTATCCAAAAACTATTGACATATATACATAATCACAAACATGCATATATGGTTTAGGGAAGATAGAAGAAGGAGCATACAGTGATTGACCTCTTCAAGCTGTCAACCTAATGCAGATATATCAGTAGAAACTAAAAATGAAATACCTTCTCCACTAAGTGAAATGCTCCTCAATGAAAATGCAAGCTGGAAGCCTCTGATCAGAGACTCATGGCTGGATTTCTGCATAAGTTGATAAGAGCAGTCTGTCAAATAATGACAACACAGACACAGGACTAAATTGAACAATGCGTTTGCTCGGTCTAAACTGATAGTGGAATTGTACATTTAACTCATTATATACCTTAGTTCGCGAAAACAGCATCAACAAGCTGTAAGTATGAGCGATTGCTTCAAAATGCTCAACTGTAAACTCATAGAAATCATCTGATTCTTCAGTTTGAGTTCAGTTCAAGGCTTAGTAATCTCAAAGAATAAAACAGAAATGAACCCAAGATTTATCCATGCATAATTCCTTCAACAATAATGATAAAAAGTTACCTCTTGTGTACTAAATATGAAGATTTGTCAAACTTTAGTAGTTTAGTATACAAGATCTACAAAGAGAAATAAAGATGGATTGTCATATGTGCAATGGTTCCAAGACAGTCTATGAGAAACAGCTTATTGATATTTCAATCAATACATTGACAATATTTAATGCAAAATTGAGCACCAAATGAACCTACACATACGCCTCTATTTTGTTGTAGTTCCCCAATTGTATAAGCTCATTAGCTATTAGTGTAATGTGCCACATATTACTGATTCGTGGTGGTGATTTCCCTTCAAGAGGGACAGTTGGCTGCAAAATCATTCAATAAAAGTAGCAAATTTATATAAAGAATAACATCTGTAGGAAATATCATGATCATTTAACAGGAAACAAACATACATAGAGAATGCCATAACACAATCAATTACCAATTCAATCAATGGTCATTTTGACAAGAATTTTTCCAACAAGTTTAACTGCCTTAAACCAAATCAATTTCTTGTCAGCAACTACTACTGACACTCACTAAGAATGAAATCTAAACATGATTAATGCAAATTTTAGGAATATGGAGATACTCACAGCCTTGCTAAAGAAACACATAGCATATTTGAAAATCCCTAGCCAAAATATTCGAGCCGAATCAAATCCCTAGCACTCTGTCAGATATTCGAGCCGCAGCTCTTCGAATTGAAGATAAATAGCCAAAATATGAGAAATAACCAACTTTGCCAGATTATCAATTCCAAGCATGATGCAAAAAAATCACTCAGAAAACCATTAAATCCATAACTGACAAAAATGGAGAAAGAATATATTGCTTAATCTAAATCGACAAAAGAAAGAAAGTATGCTAAAATTACCGTATCACATTTTAAGTTGAATTCGGAAGGGGAAGAGAAATGCAACCTGCAAAAAAATCTCTGAATCAATGGTCGTGAAGGAGACGGAGAACTGTGATGAAATACAGTCTGATGGTCGATGGAGAATGAGACTTTGAGTGGTTTCATTCTAATATATATTAATTAATATATTATATACCACTATATTTTAATTGGGATTTGGGAGCAGCGAAACACATCTTGTATCTGATTAATAGCGGCGGTTTCCCTGAACCGTGGAAAATAAAACGCTACAAATATTATTTAAATAACTTTTAATTATTAAACCGCGGCAGTCAAAGAAACCGTCGCTAAATATTTATTTCGCGACAATTATTAACAACCGCCCCTAAATTAGTGTTGCTAAATAAGTCTTTTTTTGTAGTGCCTGAAAATGCAATTAAGCCACTGAACGAAAAAAAAAAAGTACAATTAGGCCACTGAACACTCAAAAAATGTGCAATTTCACCTGATAGCAGGTTACCCTCAATTTTAGCAAGTTATCTGCTTACGTGGCAGCTGAGTTGGCATTTTTAATAAATTTTAATTAATTTTTAATAGATTTTAATAATAACTTTTTATTAAATTTTTTTAAAAAAAAATAAAAACGACTTTATTTTATTTTTTATTTAATTTTTTCTAATTTTTTATAAAATTTATTATTAAAAATTATTTAAAAATTATTAAAAATGCCAACTAAGCTGCCACGTAAGCAGGTAACTTGCTAAAATTGATGGTAACCTGCTATCCGGTAAGATTGCATACGTTTGGAGAGTTCAGTGGCCTAATTGCACATTTTTTGAGTGTTCAATGGCCTAATTGCACTTTTTTTTCGTTCAGTGGCCTAATTGCATTTTCAGGTTACGTTCAGTGGCCAATTTGAACCTTATTCCAAAAAAAAAAAAAAATACAGATTGACAATTTTAAAATTTTAAAATACAAAATGAAATGAATCCGGGAAAAGTCAAAATTACGTGACAACTGTATTTTGTGCTGTTTGAGCAATTAAAATTTAATGTAACTTTTTTTAAAAGTCGTGCTTTATGGGTCATCATCACGTGACAACCATATTTTATGTTGTCTTTTAATGTAATCTTAAAACTTGTGGTGTGTGAGTCACCTTTACGTGGCAAACGTATTTTTGTGTTGCCTGAGTTGCCTTTGCATACCGACTATATGAGTAATTAAAGTTTATAGTAACATTTTCTTAAAAAGCCGTGCTTTGTGAATCACCATTCTCATTATGTAGATTTTGGGAATTTGATAAAAATGTGTAATGTACCGTTCTCATTATGTAGATTTTGAGAATTTGATAAAAATGTGTAATGTACAGTTCTCATTATATAGGTTTTGGGAATTTGATAAAAATGTGTAATGTACCGTTCTCATTATGTAGATTTTGAGAATTTGACAAAAATGTGTAGTGTACCGTTCTCATAACCGTTTTTTTTAAGTATTTTATATTTTGTTTCATCAAAATCTATTTACACATATTCCTGACGGTAACTTAGGTAAATAGTGTCCACATTAATTAACTTATAGTATTAAATATCATATACGACTACTTAATATATAATAATATTATAGGATAGTATTTAAAACACAGTATATAATATTTAATGTAAAATTAATAACTATATATGACAACCCGTAAAGGAATCATCATATATAGTATATAGTATATAATTAAAATAATAACTTTATTACTGTAATTTAATTTTTTTTAGTTTTACAAATTACTTAATTAAGCATTGATTAGCATTATTATCAGTTTAAAGGAACCAACCAGCAGTCCTGTTGAGCAATATAAAAGTTTATAATTTGTTTAAGATTTCTCATAATCACCAACGCAAAACACCATGCCCAACCTATACTTCGACTTCATCGTCCCCATACGAAAGCGCACGAAGCGTGCACGATCAGCTTCTAATCCATGGATCCGCTGGAATGGGGCTCCGTCATCTTCCACTGCTTCTGCTTCATCGGAAAAGGCACTATGCGGCCGGCAAGAAATATCGGATGGATCGAAGGAGTTTAGAGAGTGTAGCCATTGTAAAGCTACGGAGACACCACTATGGCGTGAGGGTCCGATGGGGCCGAACACTCTTTGCAACGCCTGTGGTGTTCGATACCGCACCGGACAGCTGTTTCCGGAGTACCGACCGGCCAATAGTCCGACGTTTGTTCCTACGTTGCACTCCAATTCTCACCGGAAGGTTGTGGAAATGAGAAGGAAGGGTGTTGAGGAAGCTTCGGCAGCTATGGTGGAGGAGGATTCTGTGATGAGAGCAGCTGCAGCTGATGCCGAGGAAAAGAAGAAGATGGAAGAAGGGAAAAAGTGAAATATTGTCAAAAGTGCGTGGTATAATATAACAAAAAAAAAAATACAGATTGACAATTTTAAAATTTTAAAATACAAAATGAAATGAATCCGGAAAATGAAATTAAAGTGATTTTGAGTCAACGTGATAAATGTATTGTGTGATGTCTAAGTAATTAACGTTTATTGTAACTTTTTCTTAAAAGTTGTGCTTTCTGAATCATCATTACGTGATAATCATGTTTTGTGCTGTTTAAGTTGTTTTTTAACGTTATCGTACAATTTGTGTTGTATGAGTCACCTTTATATGTGACAATTGTATTTTTGTGTTGTTTGAATGACTTTGCATACCGACTATATGTTTGAGTAATTAATATTTATAGTAACATCTTCTTAAAAGTCGTGCTTTGTAAGTCATCATTACGTGTCAACCATATTTTGTGATGTTTAGTTGTCTTTTAACGTTATCCTAAAAATTGTGTTGTATGAGTCGTCTTTACGTGACAATCGTATTTTTGTGTTGCCTGAGTTGCCTTTGCACGCATATCGACTGTCTAAGTAATTAAAGTTTATAGTAACGTTTTCTTAAAAGTCGTGCTTTGTGAGTCACCTTTACGTGTCAAGCGTATTTTGTGATGCCTGGGTTGTCTTTTAATTTTATCCTAAAACCTGTGTTGTATGAGTTGCCTTTACGTGACAATCGTATTTTTGTGTTGCATGTAGCTGTGTTGCCTTTGCATATCGAGAGTAATTAAAGTTTAAAGTAACGTTTTCTTAAAAATCGTGCTTTGTGAGTCACCATTACGTGACAACCGTATTTTCTGTTGCTCACTTGCCTAAGTTGTCTTTTAACGTTATCTTAAAACTTATGTTGTGTGAGTCGTTTTTACGTGACAACTGTATTTTTGTGTTGCGTGAGTTGCCTTTGCATACCGATTGTCTTTACTTCATGCCATGGTTGAATATTTAATGCTCAAAAGTTGACCCTCTTCTCTCTTAACCTCAAGTGCAATAAGTTTTCATAGTCATGATTACTTCAATATTATTAAGTCTAATATAAGTGCATTTAAGCTAATTAACTATCGAAATATAAACTGAAGTAAAATCCTAATTAACATAGACGTGGATTATATATTAACTTTACCAATTCTAAACATATTAGAGTTCAACTTCATAAAACTCAAATAAAATGACTAAATTAAACAAAAACAGTCAAATTTCATACTCTATAAGTTCATGACTAAGAAAAGAAAATAATTTATAATATTATATTATTATAATATAATAATGTCATCTTATCCCACATCTTAGTTAAGATGGAGGTGACTCGTTCTAGTTGTTCTATCTGGTTTGATGCATGTATGATGTACCCCAAATGATATTGTTTCAGTGATTATTTAATATATGTCGTATTTTCGCCTTCAAAGAAGGGTTAATAGCAGCAAAAGTTTGCCCTAGCAACAAGGTTTTACCAATAGCAAGAGTTTGAATGATAGCAAAAGATCTTATGTCACCAACAACAAGACTTTGGAACAACTTTTGTGTTCAAAATTATAGAGATTTTGAGTTGACAATCTAAGCAGAAGAAGTGGGCTCCAACCGTATTTTTGTGCTTCCTCAAACTTGTGCTATGTGAGTCACTTTTACGTGACAAACTGTATTTTATGCTTCCTGAGTTGTCTTATAACGATAGCTTGAAACTTGTGCTATGTGAGTTATCTTTACTTGACAACCGTATTTTTGTGCTTCCTCAGTTGTCTTTTGAGTACCGACTGTCTTTGCTCTATGCCATTGATGAATATTCCATGCTGAAAACTTGACCCTCTTCCCTCTTAACCTCATCTGCAATAAGTTTTCATAGTCATGGTTACTTCAATATTAAGTGCATTTAAGCTAACAATCGAAATATAAATTGAAGTGAAATCTTAATTAACATAGACGTTGTGGAATATACAGTAAAAATAGGCTTCATTCTTAACTTTATCAATTCTAGCTAATTCTAAATATATAAGTTAAACTCAAATAAAATGACTAAATTAAACAAAGTCATACATTCAATTAAATTTCATACTATATAAGTTCATGACTAAGAAAAGAAAACAATTTGTAATATTATACTACTAATGCCATACTATATCAATTCATCACATGTCAGTCGTCTTTTGCTTGATTCTTGTGCTTCTTGTGCATGCATGCCACGTCTTTTTTATTTTGTCGTATATTCATGTAATGTTGTCTTTATCTTGATTCTTGTGCTACGTGAGTCATCTTTATGTGTGTGTTATTGTGACACGTGAGCCATTTTTCTTTGCCAACTATCTCTTTTGATGTGTGCTTGTTGTCTTTGAATTGTCTTCCACCGAGTAATAAGGAAAACAAAACTCACAAATGGTTTAATACAATAACCATTAATTTGCACACTACCTTTGTGTGCAATGAGAAAATTGAGTTTCTAACAACATATTTTATAAGATCCAAAGAATATAAATGTATTTATAGTGGTCCATACCCATGTTATTTTCCAATGTGGATAAAGACATTCAAAACATTTTCAAACTATATTTTCTCATCTTCCAGTGTTCTCTCTTCTCTCATTCTCTCACCCTCATACCTCAATCTCTCATTTGCATTTTCCAATGTTCTCTCTTCTCTCATTCTCTCAAACTCTCCGAAATATGTTTAGGGTTCTTTAATTTCTCTCAACTCTCTTCTCAGTTCTCACTTCTAGTTTTCTCTAATCTCTCAGTTCTCTCATCGTTGAACTCTAAGATTCTCAAAGCTTTTGAATCTCTATTCCGAATATTTGAAATATTATTAGTCTGTCTCTCAGAGACTTTAGTGGCCTATTCCTAATTTTATGGTGGTCTGGTAACCGGTGGTGGAAGGACTGGAAGCCCTAGGTGGTAGCAGGAATTCATTGCCCTTTTTCTCCGAGAATGTATTGGAGAAACGAAGTAATTCTAAAAATTCTAATTTTATACTATTTTTTGTGTGATATACTGATATACGTTTGTGATATTCATAAAACCCTAATTTTATATCATATATCGCATATTTCCAATCAAAATTTTCAAGTATCAATAATCCAATCAAAATTTTCAAGTTGCTTTTCGGGTTTCCCCCTCTTTTATCATTTTTGGTTTAATTGAGTAGAATGTTTGATGTATTGTTAACGAAATATCATTTCATTTAAGTTTATCTACAAAGTTTTGGAAAAAAAAATAGTTTGAGAGCAAAATATTATTGACAAAGTGGAGAGGTTATAGTGGGAAAAAAAAATGGTTTAATTGAGGAGTAGAGAGATTATGTTGTTATAAATGTCTATGGCAATTTCAACAAGCACCAGTGGTCTAGTGGTAGAATAGTACCCTGCCACGGTATAGACCCGGGTTTGATTTCCGGCTGGTGCATTACTTTGAAGCGGTGATGACGTTTGCGCATGAGTGGTGCATTTGGGCTGCCACAGAGTCTGATCTTATAGCGCATCTGAGCTTCCCTTTTGGACTTGTGCATATTTTTTTCCCTATAACTTCTCCATTTTGTTTTATTTATTTTATTTGTAAATAAACCTAAAAGACTTCTGCATATTTTTTCACTATAACTTCTCCACTTTCTTTTATTTATTTTATTTGTAAATAAACTTAAAAGAAATAAATTCAATTTATGAAACACCGATAGTCATCTTTATCTTCTTCTTTTTTTTAGTACTATTTGATTATACAGTATCTGTCTATACATACTTTCTCAATCAATTAAATCACAAAGAATCAATGTCTCACTGGCCACAGAGATGTTACAAGCTACTTGACTTTCTTTTTTTAGGGAGTAAAGGATTAATTCATTAAATCATCAGAAATACAAGCTACTTGACTTTTAGTGATGAACTTATAATGTTCCACAAAAAATTATATTTTACATATGTAGTCAATAAATCAACAATGTACTGTTAATTCCTTTCAAAAAACAAGAACAAAACAATACAGTGTTAATTTTAATTTTGTTATATTACCTCAAGATTTGTATGTTTTGAAGAAAAACAATATGTGAAAAGTGCATTTAATTACTAGATGCCCTAGAAGAAAAGATTCAATTGTTTCTTCATTTTCTTTTAGATTATGGAACTAGTGTTGTATATTAGTCTTACCCCAAACCTTACAACTTACCAACACACACAAATATATAAATGATTATATTATATAAGATCTTTTCAAGAGCATTTTACTACAATCTCTTTAAATAATAACAATAATAACAATAATAATAATAATAATAATAATAGCGGGACTCGGATGGCATGTAACAATCTCTCCCATGTGGGAGGTCATGAGATCGAGACTTAGTGGAGGCGTTGTTGACTCTTTGTGCTCCATGAAGTTGAGAAAGTATGTTTGAACAGATACTACAATGTAATAGAGTCAGTAGCCTAATTTATTTATTTTTTATGTATTACTTGTTTCCCTTCAATTTTCAACCTAGTTGTTATGATTAAAATATCTTCATCTTTTCCTATTTAATTTCAACTTCGAAGAAAGAACACGTCAAGAAATAACGAACTTTGTAGACATGAGCTGCCAACGACAATGAATTAGTCAAAAAGTGCCACCCCTATTTAGCTAGGATGGCTAGATTAAAATCCCACAAACATTTAAAGTTTTACCTAGGAGTGATCACGGTTCGGTTCGAACCATAATCGTGCACTGTAGAACTGAAACCGAAATCGAACCGTCCATACGATTTCGATTCCGATTCTTAACCGAAACCAATAAGGTTCCGGTTAAGGTTTGTGTAATCGATTCCAAACCGTTAAAAAAAAATTATTAATTAAGTTGAAATTTCAATTTATATTACAAAAGTCTAGACCAGCAGGCCACTGGCCTGCTGGCCGCCAATACGCAAATTATGTTGTGGACTTGTGTCCACAGTGCATTGTGGACACGAGCCCAAAACGATGACAGCATTCTAGTTTTTTTAAAAAAAATTGATTTTGTCTCACCGTTAACGGCGTCATTCGTTTGTTGAATTATGAATGTACAGTTATGGAATTATGAATGTACAGTTATCGAATTATGGAATTATGAACACAGAACACTGACATTATGAACTTACAATTATGAACATATAGTGATAAAATTATGAACATAGAGCTCTAAAATTGTGAACATAGAGCTTCGAAAATTATGAATTTACAGTTATTGAATTATGAATGTACAGTTATTGAATTATGAATGTACAGTTACGGAATTATGAATGTACAGTTATGAAATTATGAACACAGAGCTTTGACATTATGAACATATAGTGATAAAATTATGAACATAGAGCTCTAAAATTGTGAACATAGAGCTTCGAAAATTATGAATTTACAGTTATTGAATTATGAATGTACAGTTACGGAATTATAAATGTACAGTTATAGAATTATGAACACAGAGCTCTGACATTATGAACTTACAATTATGAACATATAGTGATAAAGTTATGAACATATGCTCCTATAACGAATTAGCGGTCTGAAATTTTTTTAAAAAAATGGTGGAAGATAACGGTGCCACTAACAGCACCGTTACCGTGTCCACAATGCATGCTGGACACGGGTCTATAGCATAACGATTACCGCCAATAGCATGGCCATTAGCTAAAACTTAAAAACAATATTTATTTTTTTTATAAAAAAAATCCGATTAGAACCGGCGGTTCCAATCGGAATCGTCGATTCGTGAATCAGAACCGAAACCTTAATATAAGGTTCCGGTTTCACCATTTGCTAAATCAGAACCGACAGTTCCGAACCGGAACCAAAACCGCAATCACCCTTAATTTTACCCCTATAGCATTTTGGAATATATAACTTTGCCTAGCTCATCCACTAAATGCGACCACCGTTGTCACCACTCCCACACCACCAATATTTGTTCATCATCCTCTCAAGATCTTTGCAGAAGGTAGATGACAGCATGTAAATGCACATCATAAACATGGGCATGGCTTGAGCAAAGCTCTTCAGCAATATTTCCTTCCCCACTTTGTATATAAATTTTTTATTCCAATATTGATGCCATAGGAATATTACAATCATTATTGTATGAATCATGGTCCACACAAATTGTATGGACCATATTTTATATACTGTAAAATAATGTACATTCAATACAAAAATAATGTACATTGTATTTAAAGGATGTATATTATTTTTGTACTGTACATTATATTGTATAATGTATATATAGTACAAAAATAATGTACATTTAATATATTAAAAATGTACTTTTTGTTATGATACACATAACACCGTGTGAACCAATAATTTGCTGGAATCTTATGCCAAGGCTAGGCCCAAGTGGTATGCCTTGTCGCAATATTTTTTAGGGCCCAACATTCCATTAAAAAAAAATAAAAAAGGTGTGCAACCTTTCATCTCTCAAAATAGGGATTTAAAAAAAAAAAAAAAAAAAGAGTTAAGAGTTTATGTGTATTATATGTATTATTTTTTCAAAAAAAAATTACGTGTATTTTATTATACAATTATGTACATTCTATTATATAATTATGTACATTCGAAACATGAGATTTTTTTTAGAAGTTAACATCAGAAACAAGAAACGAAATTTCTAAAAATATATATACAAAACGACGCCGTTTTGAGTCAAGGCACACAATGCAGTGTGCGTTCTGGTGCACTATATAATTTGCCGATGCTTTAGGCAAATTTTACTATGAACCATGAAGTATGTATCATTTGAATTACATTTCAGTTTCATTTGACAATATTGCTATGTTTTTTAGTTTCATTTTTCACCCACACTAGTTTCATTATAGCAATATCGAAGTATCATTTTAATTATACTATATTTTCATTTGACAATATACATTATTACAAGAGCTCTATTTTTATTTTATTTTTGTTTCATTTTCCACAAATCCTAGTTTAATTATAGCAATGCTGAAGTATTATTTTAATTACATTTCAGGTTCATTTGACAATATATGTTATTGTATGGCTTTGAATTTTAGTTTCATTTTCACCAACACTAGTTTTATTATAGCAACACTAAAGTATCATTTTAATTATACTACAGTTTCATTTGATAATAATGTGCTCTGTTTTTAAATTTTATTCTTCACACACACTAGTTTGATTATAGCAATATTAAAGTATCATTTTAATTCTACTACAGTTTCATTCGACAATCATGATCCACACAGTGCTATGTGGATCATGGTTTAGTGTATAACAATTGGATGCTTTGGCATAATCTTGTGTACTTTTAGTGCTTATATTAGTATATAACAGTATTGCAAAAATCGTGCCTAGACGCTAGGCAATCGGCCACCTAGGCACCCTAAGTGCCCGCCTAGGCTCTCTAAGCGCTTTAGGTGTCTTAGGCGGTCCCATGACGCCTAGCGATTTTTTTAACGGGATACTAGTTTGCTCTTTTAGCAATCATATAGCTCACTACTAAACATATATGTATAATTGGCTTTTACTACTTCAATCCATTTCATGCACATTTTGTGAACCAAAAACCTTTTGTTATGAAACGTGATTAGTACAAAATACTAGGGAGTAATGTATCCTTTTCCGTTTTCGTACATAAAATTGCGGAGAAAAGTTTACAGTTTACACATCCCCGCGCCCTTCTCGATTTTTTCCTTCAATTTTGTCCCTGATTCGCACATATAGCTACATTGTATGTATAGGTATATACACTGACATATTATCGTAAACGATTCCAGATCCATCGATGATCAGAAATGGCGGAGGGAACATACGTGCAGCTAACCAAGGAACAAGAGGCCGTCGTCGAGAACATCACCCCCGGCGAACTTAACCAGCCCATTGATATTGACAGGGTAATTACAATTACCGTGGTGTTTAATTTTGGCTTGAAATTTATTACTGTGTATAGTGCTTTGATCTGTTGGCTTGATTCTTCGTTCAGATTTCCGTGATTTAGTTGATTCTATATTTGCAGAGATGTGTTTTTGTTTTGTTTTTCATTTGTGTTTGCAATTTCTCTTCTAAGGTATTGAAATTCGTGTAATATGGAGTGCAGTTAAGTATTTTGTTGTCAAAATGGATGATTCTTCACCCTGGCAGATTCTACGTATGAACTTGTATTTATGCATTTGTTTTAATGGAATAGCGTATTTGTGGTCGAGCGACATGACTGTGACTCTCTCAATTGGTAGGTCGTAGGTTCGAACCCCAGTGGGGGCATTGACTCTTTGTGCTTCAGTGGTTGAGAAAGAGAAACAGAGTTAAAGTACTCAAAAGACAAAAGGGAATAGTGTGTTCAGTGCAGAAATAACATTAGCACCATTCAACTTCTTGATTTCAATGATAGCAATGTGTCAACATAGGTTGCTGATTGGTTGTGTTTATTATATGAAATGAAACTTCAATTCTCAACTTATTGGATGCTGTCATTTAATTTAACAGCAAAGGGAATAGTGTGTTCAGTGCAGAAATAACATTAGCACCATTCAACTTCTTGATTTCAATGATAGCAATGTGTAACATAGGTTGCTGATTGGTTGTGTTTATTATATGAAATGAAACTTCAATTCTCAACTTATTGGATGCTGTCATTTAATTTAACAGTTTACTTGCCGGAGATGCCCTGAATGTGGGCAACCCTTGCCTAAAAGCCACCAGCCCCCTGCTGATGAAGATTGGACAACTGGGATTTTCGGTTGTACTGAAGATTTAGAAAGTTGTAAGTGTGGTGGTCACTATCCAATAGCTTCTAGTGCTATGTTTTGTTCAAAAGTCAAGTTTCACACTGTCGGGAATTCATGTTTGTTGCATAACAACAATTATCTAAGGCTAATGTGTTTTCAGGTTTTCTTTCATTTGTTTGAGATATAAATTGTGCTTTGACAATTTTTAATGGTAGAGCTATGGGTTGCAACATGAGTAGTAGATGAGTTTTAATTACTCCGTAATTTTTAAATACAACTTCAAGAAATTTATGTAATATTTTCTAGAAGTTGAGCCAAAGCTGAACTTTTAAACAATCTGAGTACACTATTTGAGCTCAATAAGCATGCAGTAAATGAATATTAATGGGGTAAAGTTGACAAACAGAAAAAGAAACTAGTTTAAGTCTTAGATGTTTGCAATCAGTATATCTCTACCAGTGAACTTTAGCGCAGTAAAATAAAAAATTTCTGCAGATTCAATCAAGTCTCAATCATCAAATATCAATGCATCCATTTTTTCTGATAGTCTCAAGATTCTCTCATATTCTATATGATTATTTGGTCATAGGACTAGTTTATTATCTCAACTAGTAGACTTCTTCATATGATGCAACTATAAAGAAGGTATAATGTCTATACTTTTGTTATTCTATACTTCTTTTTAATGCTCTGGTAAGTTCTCAATGAACATATATAGTGCAATAAAAATTTTGTTGTCATAGTTTCTAGTCTTTTGCATGCTTCTGTAAGTGCTCAAATCTTGTGTGCTACATAATTTTACAGAATGTGTAACAGAGAATACATCTCTAAACAAATCATTTCCCTGTCATTTTATTACATTTTGAAAACATGATATTCAGCACTGAATCTTGTCCACCTTTCTACTGTTACATATTCATTCTGTAGGCTTGACTGGACTATTTTGTCCATGTGTTCTGTTTGGGCGGAACGTCGAAAGCTTGAATGAAGAAATTTCCCAAACTGGGGCATGTGTTGGCCATGTCATTTGCGTTGAAGGCGGCATCACTCTTGCTGTTGTAACAGCAGCAATGCATGGCATTGATCCCGATACGATGTGCCTTATAACTGAGGGTCTACTCTTTACTTGGTGGGTTTGTGGTATCTACACTGGCATGGCTAGGCAAGCATTGCAGAGAAAATACCATTTGAAGGTACTCATCCCATTTCAGAAGTTGTGTATATTAGTATTCTAGTGTTTTGTAGGATCAAGCGCTTACTGGGCTTGGCCTTTCATTGGCCTCTGCCCAACAATCCCCTAGCCACCAATTGATGGACTTGGCCAATTGTTGCTGGGACTCGAACCCGTGACCTGGCTCCGATACTACTTGTTAGGATAACGCTCATCACTACGCCAAAAGTTATATCTAGTAGCGAAGACGCAACTTTATTTCCTTATAGACCACCATCACATTTTCGAGAGGTAGGGTGTTGGACTTGGCCTGACCTTCACCGGCCTCTTGATGGACTTGGCCCATTACTGGCCTCCGCCCAACATGTTTGAATACAATACTTTCTGCTCCAAAAGACAATATGCAGGGGTGATAATTGCTAATCTATAGTGTGTGTTGAATTATTATTTCTCCAGGATGCGCCATGTGATCCATGCTTGGTGCATTGCTGCTTTCACTGGTGTGCCGTGTGCCAGGAGTACAGAGAGATGAGGAATCATCTGGAAGAAAACACCGCATCAGTAACAATTGTAGAACCCCCACCCATTCAAGAGATGAATGTTATTCTTCCCAGAAAAGATGCCGAATCCATTCAAGAGATGAATGTTATTCACGCCAGAAAAGAAGCCGAATCCATTCAAGAGATGCATGTTATTCATGCCAGAAAAGAAGCCGAATCGTCATCTTCTGGCAAAGAAATTGTTCCAGTGATTCAGGCTGTGGAGATGAAGCCTTCATCCTCCTAGGATTAGAGACTTTCCTAGATTATTCACATAGAACTTATTCCATTTTTAGTTTGTGGAGTTAATTTTGTGTCTTTTCCTCAAGTTAAAAAGATGGACAAGAATGGTCCCTCAACAATTGGAAATTGGATAGAACTAGTCATTCTACTATGGCTTTGTTAACACTTTTTTTTTTCAGTTCTGCCAAATGTTTAGTGGCTTGTTTGAGCATTTCTATACAGTTTTCACTAGTTGGGTATCATTTGTGTCAAAGGAGTCCCCAAATACTAGACAAAAGTTATTCTTCAGTAAGGATTTCAAAGTAGTCCCCAAATACTAGACAAAAGTTAATTTTCTAACAGAAGGTCCTATCTTTATAGTTCTCTTGTGACAAAAGGTGGAATCGCCCACCTCATATCTTTATACTTCTCAATTGCACAATAAAACAATTGAATAAATTTTTGGAGTTGTTTCTATAATTGTAAAGTGGTAGTGCACAGATTTTACGCGCCTAGGGGCGTGGGCATCTGTAGTGCACGCGCCCTCTGAGCACGAAGCTTGTAGTGCACGCGCCCTCTGAGCACGAAGCTTGCGTTGGCGCCCACTGAGCGTGGGCGTGAAGCTTGCGCTGAATGCAAATTTAAGGAGATCAGCTTTTCCTTTTCTCTCTCCACGCGGGCCCACATTTGAAGACAAAAACACACTCCTCCTGCAAGAACCTCTATCTTCTCTCTCCAACACTCTCTCTTCTACCTAGACAATAATCTCTTCAAAAACGGAACAAAAACTACTGATGAAAATGCTAATTGATCACTTTTGGTCTCTCGGTCTTTTTAAATAAGATATATTCAATCTAAAGTGCTCTAATTTTGACTCAACTTTTACTTCCGATGAATGTATTTCGAATATTTTGAACCAAATTTTGTTGATTTGAACAAAATTTAAACGATCAATGTTGGTCAAATTAACTGTTGGTGTCAAAAAATAAAAATTCTATTATAGTAAAATGTCAAATCTTAAATTAATTCTATTTTAGCTAATCATCATATACTAGTATTAACTAATACGGAGTATATGATAAGAAAGATTAAGTTAATTAATATAATGATTTTTTTTTGGTGAGATAATTAATATAATGATGTATGTAGCACAGATGAACCTAGACCCCCATGTTAGCTAGGTTACGTTATTTGAAACATAATTTTCATGTACATGGAATGTTTTATGTACCAAGTTTACACGTTTGATACGGATAAGATATGAGATATATTCCTTTTGAAAAATGAGATATTTGTGTAAGGATTGTTATAATTAATGCTATTGATGTGATACCATTTATAAATCGTACTAGTTTTTTATGCGCATTGCGCGATTGGGATAATGCCCAATATTTTTAAAAATAATAATAATAATAAGTACTTTAAAGTATATAAATGTAAGACTATATTGGAATTGTTCATGCATAGATAATTGAATGTTGAATTTGCGTATTTAAATAGGTAATTCTAAGTTTACAAATGCAAGATAATATAGTCAAGATTGATTATAATTGTCAATAAAATAATTGTATAGGTATGGTTGAAACCAAATACGGGACATAAGGGAGAACAAATAAAAATTAAGGCATAAAATATTAAATATATACTAATATTGAAGAGCTAACTGCTGATTGCCAAACAAGGACATTGCGAAATAGTTTCCCACTTCAATTTGTTGTGTGATTTGAATACTCTTTTTGACAATAAATTCCCAAAGTAATTAATATGATTGACTTAATTATATTTTTATATTTTTTATTTTTTAAAAACAATTATTTGTATTATTATTATTATTAAATATATGTATACTCTTAGGTCATCTTACATGTTAATCTAAACAGCTAATTTTTTTCAAATATCTTTTTACCAACTGTTGATATAATTCGCTGGTCAAATCCATTAATATAATTCACTAACTGCTGATTGTCAAACAAGGACATTGCGAGATAGTTCTCACTTTTTGTTGTGTGATTTGACTATTCTCTTTGTCAATAAATTTCTCAAGTAGTTAATATGATTGACTTTATTAATTATATTTTTTTTAATTTTTTTATGGTAATAATAAAATACTTGATAAATACATATATAGCATTTTTTTTTGTATTTTAACTTTGAAATTATTTCTCTAATTTAATTTATTGATAATAAATAATTTTTTTTTTTGAATAAAGACATTGTAGACACATAATTCTAAATTAAAGAAATGCATATGTATTATTTTTTGTTGTAGCTACTAAATTATTATTTAATTTAATAAGAGTAAAATAGAGTACTAAGAGGAAATTTCAATTTTGGTCATATGACTATAGGGGTCTTGTTAATTTCAGCTCCTGACTATCAAAAGTGTCAATTTAGTACTTTAACTATGCAATTTTTGTCAATTTTGGTCACTCCGGTCAAATTACCGGCCAAATTTTGCCGGAAAATTTTAATAGTTAAAATAATGAGTGTATTTTGGTCATTTCAAGCCTCTTTTCTTTTTTTTTTTTTTCCAGCGAGTCCATCCCTTTCTCTACCGTTTCCGACGTTCTTTCTCCCTGTAAACCCTATCTTTAAAATCATCAAGCCTCCATTCCGCATCATCTTAGTTCATTGCATTCGCAAGAAACGGGAGAGGAAGGGATGAACTCGCCTGGGAAGAAGAAAAGAGACGTAAAATGACCAGATTACCCTCATTATTTTAACAATTAAAATTTTCCGGCGAAATTTGGCCGGCAATTTGACCGGAGTGACCAAAATTGACAAAAATTGCATAGTTAAGGTACTAAATTGACACTTTTAAAAGTCAGGGACTGAAATTAACAAGACCCCTATAGTCATATGACCAAAATTGAAATTTTCTCAGAGTACTAATTATGTCAACTTTGATTGGGATGAAGTTTGAACCTAAGACCTTTATTATTGAAATCAATGAGTAAGTTAACGGTGAACTAACAAAAATTAACGGAAAAGATAATATTTAATGGAAAATCATATTCATTAAGGATAAATTTGGAAATCTTAAGGAAAAATTAAAATCTGATCAATCTGAGCCATTCATTTGATTAAAAAATTTGACCGCCATTTTTTCTACCCATTATAGGTCTAACTCTCTTGGGCTCTTATTAGTATAGTAGATATCTTATAAAATAATAATGCTCAAGTATTTATAATTGAATTAATGGCCCTGTATGATAAAATAGTCAGCTAATAGGTTAATTTTGTCTTATTTGACCACTATTAGTTGTTTGACCTGGTTACAAAATCAATATAAGTGTTTGGTTAATTAGTTTTTTATAACTCAAAAATGTTAAAATTCAAAAAACTGCTCAAAGCAACTTTTCAATTGGTTTTTTTAAGAAAAGAAATTATACTAAACAGCTAACAGCTAATTTACCAAACACATTTTCTATAACTAGCTAATGTTATCAACTAGTTATATCTTCTAATTAACCCAATCAACTAACAGTCATTTACTTTTCCAAAAAAAAAATAAAAATTAACAGTCATTTACCAAGTAGGGCCAATATCCAATTTAATCTTCAACTACCGTGGTTCTTTTTATGCTTAATTAGATTCTCGACTTTGATGGTTTTATCCAATTGAGTCATCTATTAAGATAACTTGATAATTTCACATCTATTAATAATTAATACCTAATTTAATCATCGATTATGTAGGTTTGCCCAAATTAGTCTTTGACTATAGAGATTTTACCCAATTTAGCCATCAACTATAGTAATTTTTTTCGATTTAATCCTTGTTTCTAATAACCGATGATTCAATTGGATAAAACAACTATCGAAATCGATGACCCAATTAAGTAAAAACATTATTTTTACAACTAAATTGAAAATAAATCAGTCAATGACTACATTTGTTATTAACTCATTTATAATTCATTTTTCGGACTTTTTTAAAATAAAAATCTTAATTTATCTAGATAATTTTTGAATTAAATGTGACATTATGAACATATATATATATATATATATATATGTATATATATATATATATATATATATATATATATATATATATATATATATATATATGGTTGTAGTCTACTACAAATTAAAATTAAAACTAGTGATTTGTAATCATATCGTTGAAAGCTGGGTGTAAAAAATGGAGAGGAAAAACACATACGAATCATCATGGGCAGATCAGTGGGACTATAATTCTTGTTCCCAAGAAACTGAAGAAAGCAAGAAAAGCAATAATAATAGTTTGGGAGGTGGCGGAATGATGAAAGCAAAGTACGGGCAGAAGGTAGAAGAAGGGCTGGGGAAGACAAAGGCCGCCGCCGCCACCGGCGTCAAGAAGGTCAAGGAAGGGACTTCCGTTGGCTTCCGATGGATCAAAGACAAGTATCAAAAGACCACCCAAAAGAATTGATCCATTTATTTTTCTTCCATCTATTTCTTATATATATTTCTTTATCATATATATATCTAATCAGGTGAGAATCGACTTTAATTGTGAACTTGTGAAGGATTGCACCGTAAGTATTATATGATTGCACTGCTACGGATCCTTCACAAGTTCGCAGTTTGCAAGTTAAATATTAGTTCTCACCTGATTATATGCATATTTTCAATTTGCTTTATTATGTGTCTATGATTGTCCATTTTAATTTCCTTGACGTTTCATATTTATTCCTCTGTTATTTCAAATAAAAGATTGAGTAACCGTGGGTGAACACAAATTAAATTTTGCGTATTTGTACTTTAATCAAATTAAACATTATGATAAAATAATGGTCTTGTTTGATTGTCAAATGGTATGCAATTTTATTAATGGGTCCGCAGTGGATATATCGTATGCCGATTGTGTGATAAAAGAGATTAAAGATTATCAAAGACACTTTGAAATAGGGTCCTTTAAGTTCATTTCTAGATCAGTAAATAAGGTTGTCCATGTTTTAGCTAGGGTTGCACGTTCACAAATTGGTCCTTCTGTTTGGTTTTCCTCTATTCCCTAGTGTATTGAACGTTTGATTTAATAAATTTCATTCCTTCGTTTTCAAAAATAAAAAAAAAAAAATTAGTCTCTTTTGAAATCATCTCATTAATGTAATATATATATATATATATATATATATATATATATATATGTGTGTGTGTGTGTGTGTGTGTGTGTGTATGTGTGTGTGTGAATATTTGTTCATATGACGCGTGAAAATAAGTGCATAATATTAATGTTTAATATTAATCTTGTATCCTTTAAAAAAAATATTA